AAAGGGGGGGGGGGGGGGATCAGAGCAAAGCCCCCTTGTAATGTGTCTATATTGCACATTATCCCTATAGGAATAGAGATCTGTGATCATATTTACTATTGTTTGAATTTTACATTGAAAGGAAGATTACATGTATTGGTCTAAGTGCTGTTTCCCAACAACATCCTCTAATAGTGGCTGGCTGGATATGGCTTCCTCACTATAGCAGCACATAGAATGCCAGAAAGCTGCAAGCCATGGTGCAGGGGTATGGGCAAACAGACAATCAGATTTGAAAGTCCATTTATTCTAAATCTAGAAGACTTACCAACTCTCTTGGTCCATAAGGGTCACAAAATGTGACAGCCGCTCCATGCATTATAACACCACAGAGCTCTCCAACTTCACAGTTTCTGCATGGCGTCCTGCATGACAAAAGCACAGTGGGGACAATTTTAAAATGCCCTTGTAAAGTAAATTATAATTCAAATCCATTTTTTTACCCAACCAATGTTTTTATAAACAAATCTGCTATTTGTTTTTCGGAGCTTGCACGTGGTCTACATGAGTGGAACCTGTTTACAAAATTAGAGCATACATTTATGACAAATGTATCAACTAGGGATGCACAGATACTTTTCAAGTACCAGTGCAGATACTTGGCATTTTCATGAGAACTACCAGGGTGGCAGAGGTTGCAGCTGGGACCTGGCTCTGGCATTCTACCTCTGTCCTGAAATCATTAGTCTGTATTGTTTTAGAAAAACGGTCACATGACAATAAACAAAAATGTATCAGTACTCGTACTTGTAAGTACTCGGCAAGTACCAGTACTCGTACTCGCAAAACTGGTATCTGTGCATCCCTTTATTTATATTTATAAAAACAAAATCGTACATTAAAACAGAGATGTACAAATCCCAGGAGCTCCGTGTGCTCCTTACAAATGACAGCTGCCTTCTAATTTTTGAATTTTTCTCTAGTCTGGTCTTGGAGCTCAAAAGTATCGGTACATTTATTCGTACTTGTACCGAGTAATGTACTTGGTATCTGTGCAACACTAGTATCAACATTCTTCATACTGCTTATATGTATTGGGGACTGCTTTGGTGACTATCATGGATGTAGTGACGCATTGGGGATCCCAGCATGCATCTGTGGTTGCTGGGCCTCCAGTGCGTCCCTGCACCTTGTGAGGAGGAGTAGGCTACCTGCATTCAATTTATCGACTGCATCAATATGCTCCCACTAGGAGACTCATATAAATAGAGTTAGGACCACACTTCACAGAGGTGCCTTGACAGGGCAGTGTGGCTTCTACATATTTTTGGCCAAAGGTTTGTGCAACTAAAACCTCTGCTTTTAACGTATACTGTGAGACAGGGTATTTTGTTTTGTTGCAGGCCAGCTGGCAGGTGTGCTGGGGATTCCTTTTGTTTTGCTTTGGTGAGATCTCTCCATCACATTTCCTGTCTGTAGCCATAAATCTTGAAGTGTAGAATAAAAATTAAAAATCTAGCATGGAAAGTAGTTTTGAATGGCTGATAACTAAAGAACAGTGAGTTCCCAGAAATATGAGATCATAAGGTGGTTTAACTCTCCATCATCTACCAAAAACTACAATCATATTTGGATGTACAGGCCTTTACATTTATTATTTAAACTGGACAGGATACGTCTGACCATTATTGCAAAATGAACAGTCTATTTACCTTTAGTAAATCAACCCCACTAAGGCCAACTCATTAAGAACACAGCACTGCTTGCCTGTTTTTCTTGCTTCAATGGTTGCCATTTAAGTGCACTGAGCCACCTAATGTGTAACTGTGGCCAAGCAATGGGTATTCAAATGTTTACACATTCTTAAAGAAGAACTCCAGGAAAAATTTGTATAAACCCTTGCAGTGGAGCTACCCCCATGCTACAAGGGTTAACTGCTTGTTTTTGCCTAGGTGGAAAAAAAATTAAAAGATACTCACCCGATGCTCGGAGTCAGCTTGTTCTTAGACCAGTCCCTAGAGCATAGCTGTCAAACTCAAGGCAAGCAGGCCAAAACCGGCCCGCAATGGAATTATTTTCGGCACGCATGATCATTTTTAATTAGCCTTAGATCTGGCCCGCTGGTACACTTCCAGCTTTAAAGATGGCCACCGCGCAGTCGGCACCCATCTTTATGACACAGGAATGATGCAGCGCAGGCCTGCCGCATCATTCCTGTGTCATAAAGATGGCCGCCGATCGGCGGCTGCCATCTTCAAAGCTCTAAGTGCCCTGTGGCTTCTGTAGGATAGGCCAGCGGCTGTCCCTGCCTTGCCAGACCTCAGAGCAGGGATGGAGAGCTTATGGGGCCTTCCACAATGAGGAGAGAAAGCAGGGGAAGAATCCACAGAAGAGGGCACCAGATGGAAAAACTTTTTTTGTAAGTAAATTATTTTGTTCTAAATGCTCTGTACTATTTAATGTCTGTTTTTGGCTTTTATTATTTAAATATTTAGACTATTTCTACTGTGTGATATACTGTATAGGTCGCCATATTATACTGTGTGATATACTGTATAGGCCGCTGTATTATACTGTGTGATATACTGTATAGGCCGCGTTATTATACTGTGTGATATACTGTATAGGCCGCGGTATTATACTGTGTGATATACTGCATAGGTCGCGGTATTATACTGTGTGATATACTGTATAGGCCGCGGTATTATACTGTGTGAACCAGCCCTTGACTTGGAGAATTTTTTAAATTTTGGCCCACTGTGTATTTTATTTTGACACCTCTGCCCTAGAGCCTCTCTCACTATCTACTGCAGTGGTTTAAGGTCACATAAACAGGGCCGGTGCTAGACTATTTTGCGCCCTAGGCAAGACCAGCTACTGCACCCCCCAGTTCCTTCCCGCGGCGCAACCCCCGATACCCCCCCGCAGGTGGCGCCAGTCTCCTGCCGGATAGCTCACTGGATTTCTGGCAAAATAAAAATGTGTTTGAATGTACTTATTAAACAGATATATCAAAATGCTTTAAATTGAATATTTAACAGAACAAAAGTGAGCAATAAGGAGAGTTTATTGTTGTGGGTGGTTTACATACACTTTAAGCTATGCAGATTGGTCCAGCATCCACTCAGCCTGCTCTCTTGACAATGGAGCAGCATATTCTTCTTGTTCCTCGTGTAAAGATGTTTACTGTGTTCGACAACATTGTGCAAAGCAACAAATTCCTGATTGACCTCACAATCCTTGACTGAGTTTGTTGTAAGTAAAAATACATTTATGGATTTAATGAATACATTATATGACTGGATTACGTGTGGTTTTTGTCTGAAGTTTAGATTTAAACTGTTAAAATGATTTAGGGCATCAGATATGTCAAAATAATAGCATATTTAAATACTAAATTATAACCACAAATCACAAGAGTACTTTAGTAATTCCCTATGCATTTTACAACAGCATAGACATATTTTCATTACAAGTTTTCCTTTCATTTGTGGATATGAAAAACCCATGCCTTTATCTATATTGTGTATGCCCCTTCTTAACATACAATGTGCATGAATGCTGCACCTGGTAAAGCATTACAAATATTGCACCTATTAACATCCACTAAGTTTATCTGTTTCATGTAAGAAAAAAATGACAAACTCAATCCTTTACAGGATGATGGCTGTGGAATAGGTTTCATTCATCAGTTAATAGAAAGGAAGCATCTGCTATGTCTCACATCTCTTTCACAGTTTCATATTTGATTGCTGCTTCCAAGTGTTACTAGTACAGCATGGGAAACAAGGTATGCTTATGATTAAAAAGTTACATTTTGAAAAATAATACTGTACCACAGCGGTTCTCAACGTGTGGGTCATGACCCAAAAGTGGGTCGCAACTCAGGCTATGTTCACACCTAGGCGTACGGAACCATGCCCATAGGCAATTATTGTTTTTCACATGTTGAGCGTTTTACAGCATGCAGGAACGCGCTGTAAAACGCCCACGTGTGAACCAGGCCTTACTGTTGAGGGGGTCGCAGCATCCACTTCTGCTGCGCTAGGTGAGAGGCTCCTCAACCTCCTCCTAGCACATCAGTGTCAGTCAGCGTGAGGACAGCAGAGGCTGTGAATATAAAAGTGCCGCTATACACGCTCCATGGCTGCTGCAGGGACATCTAGTGGCCGGGGAGTGTGTACAGCAGGGCTTTTCTATTCAGAGCCGCTCTGTCCTCCTGCCTCCCATACAATGTGAGCTCTGCAGGAGGCGGGCGTCTAAGCAGTGCTGGGGCTGAGAAGGCTGCATGGAGACAGAGCAGGCAAGCAGGTAGCAGGGGCTGGGGAGGGCTTGTATTCTTGTGAGTGTGCTTCTATTTTTAGTCCCAAATCCAGTGTCTTACTAATTCTGGAGTCCAGCACTCCATTGGGGGTCACCACAACTTGGCAAATGTTACCAAGGAGTCCCTGCCCTAGAAAGGTTGAGAACCACTGCTGTACCAGAAAACAGACCTGTAAATTCAAACTAGGATACATTCTGGTGACCATATTGCCATTATTGCTATGGTGGCTATTGGAAGCACACACAGGTATAATGTGCAGCTGAAGAGTGTTAAGCTCTATTCTGGTAAGTAAACCTGCCATGACAGAAAAAGGCACTGCTAACTAGCAGCACAGTGGCATAGTGGTTAGCGCTTCTGCCTTGCAGCACTGGGGGTCCCCAGTTTAAATCCCAGCCAGGTCACTATCTGCAAGGAGTTTGCATGTTCTCCCTGTGATTGCATGGGTTTCCTCCGGGTACTCCAGTTTCCTCCCACACTCCAAAGACATGCTGGTAGGTTAATCGGCTCCTCTCTAAGTTGGCCCTGTATGTATGTGAAACAGGGACCTTAGCTTGTAAGCTCCTTGAGGGTAGTGACTGATGTGAATGTGCAACTATGTAAAGTGCTGTGTAAATTGTCAGCATTATATAAATGCCTGTAATAAATAATAACTAGCTGGGTCCATGGCTGTCATGCTACACTTATGTCTTCACTGCTTACTGGAAACAAAGGTGGCAAATGTGATCTAGTAAAGTGAAGCCATAGGATGAGCATAACAGTCAAAAAGCAGCTTATAATAACGTCAAGCAATGACACATTCATATTTTTGTTATCACAGATTTGTTTCGATGTAAACATAAGGCAAAGTTTTTTGGTGCTTTACAATACAATGCGAATAGAACTTTTGGCAACTGCATCCCACCAACTGATGAGTACTTTAATATTATGTAAACTGTAATGCCTGAAATATAATTGTATATGTGTAACTTCTTTTAAAAGGGGCATTTTGCACAGGGTATATCATTTTTAAGACTTTGTCCATATTTGTTTTTATATTTTGGAGGTACCATAAAATCTTTTTCTTGGAGTACATTAAGGGACATAGGATGGTAACTTAGGCAC